ATGGGGGTGTCACGGCCGTCGTGCTGGCTGTGAGTGCTGGGGCACACTGGTACAGACTGGTGCAAGCTGGTGCACACTGGTGCATGCTGTTGCAGACTGGTGCACACTGGTTCACACTGGTCTGGTGCAGACTGGTGCATGCTGGTGCACACTGGTGGAGATTGGTGCATGCTGGTGGAGACTGGTGCACACTGGTGGAGATTGGTGCATGCTGGTGGAGACTGGTGCACACTGGTCTGGTGCATACTGGTGCACACTGGTGCACACGGGTGCACACTGGTCTGGTTCAGACTGGTGCATGCTGGTGCAGACTGGAGCCTGCTGGTGCATGCTGGTGCACACTGGTGCATGCTGGTGCATACTGGTCTGGTTCAGACTGGTGCATGCTGGTGCAGACTGGTGCATACTTCTGCAAGGGCAGGCGGCCTGCCCAGGGCTCCCCCTGCACGGGGGGACCCCGGGGGGGCCCAGCCCCCGCTGCAGACGGGTGGGGGAAGCTCTCGGCATCCCCCCGTGCGCCCCCCCCGTTGCCATGGCACCGCGGTGCTCTCCGTGCTGGCTGACGTCAATTGGGGGGGGGGGGGATCCGAGGGGATCCTCCCCGCGCTCAGCGCCCCCCCCGCCCCCCCAGACAAGCAGCACGAGGTGGAGATCCCCTCGGCGCTGCCCAAGGACAAGGAGAAGGAGCGGAAGAAGCGCCCCATGTCGCAGATCAGCGGCGTCAGGAAGCTGACGCACGGCTCCAGCCTCGCCACCGCCGGCATCCCTCGCTTCGGGGTGCGCACGGACCACGAGGGGCTGCTGGCCAAGGTGAGGGGGGGGTCCCGATCCCATCGTGGGGTCCCCGACACCGGTTCTTAAGACCCTTCCCTGTCCTTCTGATCCCCGCCCCACCCAGGAGCTGGAGGACACCAACAAGTGGGGTCTGGACGTCTTCAAAGTGGCCGAGTATTCGGGCAACCGCCCGCTGACGGTCATCATGTACAGCATCTTCCAGGTGAGCCCCTCTAGGGGGGCTGTCCCCGGTCCCCGTCCCCATATCCCAAACGGGGGCCCAGCCACCCTCCCGCCTTCCCCGCAGGAGCGCGACCTGATGAAGACTTTCCGCATCCCCGCCGACACCTTCATCACCTACATGCTGACGCTGGAGGACCACTACCACGCCGACGTGGCTTACCACAACAACATCCACGCCGCCGACGTGGCCCAGTCCACCCACGTCCTCCTCTCCACGCCGGCGCTGGAGGTGAGCCCCGGTCCCTACGGGACACCGAGTGCCCTCACCGGGGCCGTAACCCACATACACCGCCTTTTTTCCCCGTCCCCAGGCCGTCTTCACGGACCTGGAGATCATGGCTGCTATCTTCGCCAGCGCCATCCACGATGTCGACCACCCCGGGGTCTCCAACCAGTTCCTCATCAACACCAGTGAGAGCCAGGAGGCGGGGAGGGGGGCGAGGGTTGAGGGAGGGGGGGGTGTGTAGGGGACCCCGGTGTCCGCCCCGGGGTGAGCGGTGCCATCTGGCAGACTCGGAGCTGGCGCTGATGTACAACGACGCCTCGGTGCTGGAGAACCACCACCTGGCCGTGGGCTTCAAGCTGCTCCAGGAGGAGAACTGCGACATCTTCCAGAACCTCAGCAAGAAGCAGAGGCAGTCGCTGCGGAAAATGGCCATCGATATGGTAACGGAGGGGGCTCGGAGCGCCCCGGGGTGCTGGGTTTTGGGGGGAGATTGGTGGCGGGGTGAGGCTGAGCCGCGTGTCCTGCTCGCCCTGCCCCAGGTGCTGGCCACGGACATGTCCAAGCACATGAACCTGCTGGCGGATCTGAAGACCATGGTGGAGACCAAGAAGGTGACCAGCCTGGGGGTGCTGCTGCTGGATAATTACTCCGACCGCATCCAGGTTGGGCTCGGGGACGCGGGCAGGGAAATATTTCTGCAGCCCGTGCCATCGGGACGCCCTCTTCGGTGCCACCACCGAGGTGGGGGCACCCAGGACAAGGTGCCCCAGGACCTGTGACGGTGGCCCTGGGGGACAAGGGACATCGGGCGAGCGCTGCGGTGGCCGTGCAGGTGCTGCAGAACATGGTGCACTGCGCCGACCTCAGCAACCCCACCAAGCCCCTGGAGCTGTACCGGCAGTGGACCGACCGCATCATGGAGGAGTTCTTCCGCCAGGGCGACCGCGAGAGGGAGAAGGGGATGGAGATCAGCCCCATGTGCGACAAGCACACCGCCTCCGTGGAGAAATCCCAGGTTGGGGGGGGGAGCACGGCGTGGGGACGAGGGGGTCCGTGGGGACGTGGTGGGTGCTGAGCTCTTGCCTGCCCGCAGGTGGGCTTCATTGACTTCATCGCCCACCCGCTGTGGGAGACCTGGGCCGACCTGGTGCACCCCGACGCCCAGGAGATCCTGGACACACTGGAGGACAACCGGGAGTGGTACCAGAGCATGATCCCGCGCAGCCCATCCCCACCTCCCGAGGGTCCCGGGGTGCCCCCCGCCGCCACCGACAAGTTCCAGTTCGAGATGACGCTGGAGGAGGAGGAGGGCGAGACGGACACGGAGCCGGAGGGGCCCGAGAGCCCCTTGGAGGAGGACAACAGCGGCTCCAAGACACCGGCCACGGATGACTCGGAGTCGGCCGACACCGAGCGCCTCTCACCCGGCTCCGGGGACCGGGACTTGCCCCGGGGTGGGTGCCCCAGGGACGTGGACAACCGGCGGGCGGTGGAGGGGACGCTGATGAAGGACGGTGGCAGCTCAGCGCCAGGCTCCGAGGGTGGCCGGGAGCTGTGCCTGGACACGGAGGGCAATGTCACATTCCTGCCCCTGGGCACGTAGCGGCCCCGGTCGGCGGGTCCCGTCGCTGCCACAGGGATGTGGGACACGGCGTTGCCCCAGCGAGTGCCACCGGCACCCCAGGCTCCTGACATCGCCACCACTGGGACCGGGGTGGCCTTTTGGGACGCGGAGGGACCCGAGGAATGTCCCCGCACGGCAGCTGGGCGGGTACCGATGGGCACAAGGCCACCACGGCTCGTTCCCTCCCGACTGTCCCCTGCTCCCACCCAGCGTCCCGACCTCCAGGTGCTGGGCAAGGTCCCTCATCGCCTACAAACGGGTCCTGGGGACGCTTTGCCCCTGCCCTGTCCCTAGCCCTGGGCACTCTGTGGCTCCCCGAGGAGATGTCCCCTGTTGCCAAAAGCCTTTGGGTGTGCGGGTGGCTCCTCACAGAGCGGCTGGCACGAGGCACCGCGGTGTCAGGGCACCAGGGCACGACTGCCGGCTGCTTGGGCATGAGTCAGGGGGGTTTATTTATTAGGGGATGGGGGGGGGGGTGTCACTTTTTAAAGCCTTTTGTAGCTCACTTTTTAATACCAGCCTCACCTAGGCGCACTCACACGCGTTTCCGTGGCAGAAGCTGCCCTGACTGTGACCAGCACCCAAAATGCTGCATTTTAAACTTTTGCACTTTGGGCCCCGCCGGGTGCCACAGCCCCGCGCGTCTCCGCAGGGACTCGGGGTGGCCTCCGGGGTCGTTTCGGTTTCTTCCTTCACCCTCCAGATATTAAACCTGGTTTGTTCCCCCTCTAAGAGCGATGTTTATGATCTTTTATCGCTGTGCTGGGTGCTCGGTGCCGTGGGTGCTGTGTCCGGGCAGCACCCTGGGGCCTCCATCCCCGGGGAACCCGGCGTGCTTGGTGGCCCCATTGCCTGCCGAGGCCTCGGGGAGGGCCCTGCTCCTTGTGTTTGAACAAAAGCGAGCTCCTCCCTGGAAATGTCGATCCGTCACTGGCAAACACAACCGGCTAAGGTAAATATTTAATCGCCGGCTTGGCGCGGCGCGGAGCCTGTTCCCTGCTCTTCCGCATTGCTCCCCAGGGTGATTTATCTGCAAACACGTCCCCACCCGCGGCACTGCCCTGCTGCGTGGGGCCCTGCCAGCCCTCACCCCGCACCCCAGGGCAGCAGGAGGGGTGTCCCCACTGCCCCCCTGACACCCCAAATTCCCCCTTTGATGGGAAGGGAACCTCAGGTTTCTGGGGCATGGCTGAGGGGTGCTGCGGGGGCTGGCGGGTCCCTGCTGATGGAGCGGGGCTGTGACCGCCGGCCCCACAGGGCCCAGGCACACCCTACAGCACCCAGCTGTATGGGAGGATGGCGGCCAAAAAAATAAACCCTTCACTGAGGGGACGCAGAGCCATGGAGGGTGGTGGTGCTGTGGGAGCCTCCCCGCCATGGGTGCTGCCACAGCACCCAACTGGCTGGTGCCCTCCAGCGGCTGGCAGGCTGCTGACGGGGTGTCGGGCTTGGGCACCCCCACAAGCCCCTCACACGGACATCGTGCTCCATGGGGCTGGGTGCGGTGCCCGGCTCCGCCATCCCGCGGGCTCCTCAGGGCTGCGCTGAGGGGTGAGGGAGAGGAGGCGGCTGGGTGCCATGGTGTGATGTGTGTTCAACTCAATGGGGTGGTGACGAGGGGCACAGGTGGCATCGGAGGAGGCTGTGGGGTCGAGGCCGGGGTTGTGCAGCCCCGCTGGGGGCCATGTCCCGGTGAGCCCCGTGCCCCCGCCTCAGCCTCGCCTCATGAGGGTGAGGGAGGACACGGGGCCGCCATGGCCGCCCACCTGCGGCTCACCTCAGGGCCTCGCCTCACGGCTCGTGAGGGATGGCAGCCTAGGGCGTGAGGGATGAGAAACCACCCTGACAGCCCTCAGTCGGGACAGGGCGCCATATCGCGACAGGAGGGCACTGTGACTCATTACCCCCCCCCCTTTTCGATAGGGAATGACCCCTCCCACCCCCCTTTCAGGTGCACATGGTACGTCCCGCCCCCCCTCCCGCTGCGCAGCCGGACCGCACCACCACGATCCGCGGGGGGGGAGGGGGGGGGGCACACACCGGGAGGGAGGCGGCGAGGGGCGTCTCCCCCCCCCCCCCACCCCAATCCCTTTGGGCACGGGCCGGCTGTCAATCAACTCCGCGCCTCCGGCCAATCAGCGGGAGCAGAGGGCCTCATTTGCATGCAGCGCCCCGCCCACCCCTCGCGCTGCTGACGTCAGCGGGGCTCTGCAAGCGGCGGGGCGGGCGCGCGCCGCTGCTGCAGTTCTGCGGGAGGCGCGGCGCGAGCGCGGGCTGGAGGTGAGCGCGCGCCCCCGCCCCCCCCCCCCCCCCCATCCAACCCCCCCCCCCCACCTTTTTTAATCTCGACCCCCCCCCCAACATCCCGGTTCCGTGCACCGGGGGCCGGGAGGGGCCGCCCCGGGGATTGCACCGGGCCGGGGGGAGGGCGTTGCAACGCCAGCTGGCGGGGATTGCAACCGCAGCGGGGGGGGGGGAGCAAAAGGGGGGGGTGTGCAAGGAGGGGGGGTGTTTGCAGCAAGGGGGGGGGCGTTTGCAGTAAGGGGGGTGGGTTGCAAGGAATTGGGGGGGGTGGTAGCAAGGGAGAGGTGTTTGCAATGAGGGAGGGGGGATTTGCAGCAAGGGGGGGGGTTGCAATGAAGGAGGGGGGGGTTGCAAGGACTTGGGGGGGGGTTGCAGCAAGGGGGGGGTTTGCAATGACGGGGGGGTGATATGGGGGTTGCAATGAGGGAGGGGGGTTTCAAGGGCTTGGGGGGTGTTTGCAATGGGGGGGGTTGCAGCAAGTGGAGGGGTTGCAATAACGGGGGGGGAGGTGGTAGCAAGGGGGGGTGTTTGCAATGAGGGAGGGGGGTTTGCAATAAGGGGAGGGTGAAATGGGGGGGTTGCAATGAGGGAGAGGGGGTTTGCATCAAGGGGGGGGGTTGCAAGGACTTGGGGATTGGGTTGCAGCAAGGGGGGGGTTGCAATGAGGGAGGGGGGATTTGGAATGGGGGGGGTGTTTGCAATAAGGGGAGGGGGTTGCAATGAGGGAGGGGGGTTAGCAGCTGGGGGGGTGGAATGGGGGGGTATTTGCAGCAAGGGAGGAGGATTTGCGGCGAGGGAGGGGAGGTTTGCAGCAAGGGGGGGGGTCGCAATGAGGATGGGGGGGTTGCAGCAAGGGGGGGTTATTTGCAGTGAGGGGGGGGTTGCAATGAGGTGGGGGGGTGGAATTGGGGGGAATTTGCAGCAAGAGGGGGGGCACTGCAATGAGGAAGGGGGGTTTGCAATGGGGAGGGGGGGATTTGCAGCAAGGGGGGGTATTTGCGGCGAGGGAGGGGGGGATTTGCAGCAAGGGGGGGGGGTTTGCACCAAGGATGGAGGAATTGCAGTGGGGGGGGGGGGATGTCTCCCAGTGCCCCCACCATTGCAGGAGGCCGCGGTGTACGGTGGGGACCTGGGGGTGCATGGGGAGGGGTAGGGCAGTGCTGTGCCCCCCCCCAGCACCCCCATATACCACCCCCACCCCCCCAGCACCCCCCTGCACCCCCCCGCGCCCACCCCCGCGCAGCACCCACCCGGCGCATCCTGCGGGGGCACCACCGCGGGTGCCATTTTGCAGAGGAGAGACGCAGCAACGGCCGCGGAGCTGCGCCCCCCCCATGGGTGGTGGTGATGGGGGGGGTCAGGGCACCCCCCACCACCACCACGACCCCCCCATACCCCGGGGCAGCGCGCCTGGGGGCACCGTGGGGAGGGCGAGGCGGCGGTGGCCTGTCCGTGCCACCGCGGCTGATGTGGTGACGAAGCCCTGGTGCCATGGGGGGCGTTGGTTATCCCTGGGGGGGGGTCTTGGTTATCCTGGGGGGGTGCATTGGTTATCCCTGGGTGGGTTTTGGTTATCCTGGGGGGTGTTGGTTATCCCCTGGGGGGTGTTGGTTATCGTGGAGATGCCGATGCCACCAGGGATATTGGTTATCGTGGAGGTGCCGGTGCCCCCTGGGGGGCGTTGGTTATCCCCTGGGGGGGGGTTTGGTTATCCTGGGGGGGGCATTGATTATCCCTGGGTGGGTTTTGGTTATCCTGGGGGGTGTTGGTTATCCTGGGGGCGTTGGTTATTGGGGGATGCCCGATGCCACCAGTGATGCCGGTGCCCCCGGGGACTTTGTCCCCACCGGTGTCCCCCTGGCTCACGGTGCCACCGTCACCGCCTTGCAGATGGCGTCCGCTACCGACTCCCGCTATGGGCAGAAGGAATCCTCGGACCAGAACTTCGATTACATGTTCAAAATCCTCATCATCGGCAACAGCAGCGTGGGGAAAACCTCCTTCCTCTTCCGCTACGCCGACGATTCCTTCACGCCCGCCTTCGTCAGCACCGTCGGCATCGACTTCAAGGTCAAAACCATCTACCGGAACGACAAACGCATCAAGCTGCAGATCTGGGTGAGCCCCGGCACGGTTCCCAAGGGATTTGGGGTCTTTGGGGAGGGGTTTTTGGGGAGGGGATGCTGACGGTGGCCGCGTGCCGCAGGACACGGCCGGGCAGGAGCGGTACCGCACCATCACCACCGCCTACTACCGCGGGGCCATGGGCTTCATCCTGATGTACGACATCACCAACGAGGAGTCCTTCAACGCCGTGCAGGACTGGTGAGCCCCCCCCTCAACCCCCTCAATCCCCCCTACCCCATCCTATTATCCTGTGTCCCCCCCATCACCCTGTACCCCTATTTTTTTTTAATTTTTTTTTTTAATTTTAATTTTTACGTCCCTCTGTGCCCCGTTTTTTTTTTTTAAATTTTAATTCTTTTGTCCCCCCCCCCCCCGAAGGTCGACCCAGATCAAGACGTACTCGTGGGACAACGCGCAGGTCCTGCTGGTGGGGAACAAGTGTGACATGGAGGACGAGCGCGTGGTGTCGGCCGAGAAGGGCCGCCAGCTCGCCGAGCACCTGGGTGAGTCCCGATTCCTTCAAATTCCGGGTGACGCTGCTTAAATTGCTTAAAACGCTGGCCCTGCACCCAAAAAAAATAAATATGGATGTGTTATGGGAATAGGCGGGATAAATGAGGTGGTGCGGTGCTGTGATGCTTGATTTGGGTGAGTTTTGGGGATTTTAAGGTTGCTGCGCGCTATAGGGTGGGATTGGGGTGGGTTTGGTCCTGCTCTGAGCAGGCTGAGCCCCATAATTGGGGAATATTTAATTAATGGGAGGAGGAGGAAGAGGAGGAGGAGGAGGAGGAGGAAGAGCAGAGAAATGTCCCCAATGGGAGGTGTCGAGCATCACCGGGGCCGTAGCATGGTCCTGGGCCACCCCCCCCAAATAATATTAAAATATTAACCCCCCCACCTCCTTATCTCCAGGTTTCGAGTTCTTCGAGGCCAGCGCCAAGGACAACATCAACGTCAAGCAGACGTTCGAGCGGCTGGTGGACATCATCTGCGAGAAGATGTCGGAGTCGCTGGACACGGCCGACCCCGCCGTCACCGGCGCCAAGCAGGGCCCCCAGCTGACGGACCAGCAGGCCCCCCCCCACCAGGACTGTGCCTGCTAGGACCCCCCCCACCACCCCACACCCCGCTCGGTGCACGTATCCGTCCCCCCCCAACCCCAGCACCCCCTTTTTTTTCCCCCCAGGGGGGGCTTTTTTGCTGCTGATACCTCGCAGGCTCCCCAAAGGGTTGGCGCCTGCCCCTTTTTCCCACCCCCCCCCCTTATCAATTAGGCTGTGCCCCCCCCCTCTCCTGTTTTCCCCTTAATTTATTTTTAAGCCTGGGATGGTAGGAGGAAACCCCACCCCCTTCCTATTGCCCTCCTGAGCCCAAATATCTCAGAAAAAAACACTTTTTTTGCCGTTTTGCTTGCAGGGTGATGGGGAGGGGGGGCCAGGGACCCGACACCCCCATCCCCATTACGGGGGCAGCGCCTGCCCGGAGACCCCTTGGGGGGTCTTTTGGCTGCCCTGCGCCCCCTCCCCAGCTGGCTGGCTGCTCCCCCCCCAGCCTATTTGTATAAATAAATGCTAATTTATGCCCCCCCCGCCCCCCCCCCCTCGCTGTCTTCCTCCCTGTACATAGGAGTCCCTGTAAATAGCCGTAGGACGTGCGCTGTGCCGTGCCCCCCCCCGTCGCTGCGTTCCCCCCCCCCTCGCTGTGCTTACCAGGTGAGCAGCCCCCCCCCCACGCTCTTTATTTAAAGGTTTTTCAGGACCAAGCAAGGGGCTGGCGGAGCTGCAGCACCCACCAAACCCCGTGGACCGCCCCCCCCCCAAAAAACTCCCCCCCCACCCCCGGTTTGGGGAATAGGGGCGAGCGTCACGGCTCCTCGCGTGGTCCTATAATTAACGTGCTTCTGTGGAGACTGTGAATCCGTGGATATTCCTCCAGCAACGACCCACCCCGAGGTCTTGCTTCCCTCTATTTATTTTTTCCCGGAGCGCTGTGTCTTTATTTTACAGGTTTTTTGTGTTTTTTTTTTTCCTCCCCCCCCCCCCCCCCCACCCTTCTCCTCTCACTGCGGTACCGTGGTCCTCCCTCCCCCCCTCCCCCTTCCCCTTTTTTCCTATTTTTGTGAAGTTTACTGATGGAAGAGTTACCACCGTACTGTACAAACGTCAAAAAAAAAAGAAAAAAAAGAAAAAAAAAAAAGTGTCAAAAGGGTACAATTTCCTAAAAATCACTGTATTAAAAGAAATGGTGTGAAGAAATAAAAGCGATGCTGATCAGCGCCTGCCCCTCGTCCTTGGGGGGTGGAGGGGGCGATTTCAAGCTGAGAGGGGGGAAATTAATTGGTTTTGACAATTAGCATTCTCCAAATAGCCCCCCCCCGCAGTGCATGATGAGGCTGGAGCTGCAAGGAAGGCACCTTTTGGGTAGAAAAGGGGAGATTTAGGCACTAGAGTAAGAAAATAAATGGGATCCTAGGTGAGGGGGGGGCACGGATTGTGCCTGGGGAGCCACCAGGGGCAAGTGCAGGATTTTTTGCTGTGGCACCAAGGCTGATTGGGTTGCAGGATGCCCCTGGCAGTGGGAATCAGCCCCAAAAACCTCAGTTTTTGCTCTGCTTCTGTCAAATATGGCCAAAATCAGACCAAATTTCGTATCAGAGCCTGGGGGGCTCTGCTGGGGCTCCTGGGGAGGGGACAAGGGGCAGGAGCCGCTGTGCCTGTCCCTGGAGTGCTGAGTGCTGCGCCCCTACCCTGTTTGTTAAATCACAGCCCCCTAATTACCGACAGTAAATTAATTAATCAGCGGGATCTGCAGCAGCCCCTGGCTGTGCCCACCACGGGGCCGGACCCTGCCCCACCTGGCGGGGGTCCTGCCAGCCCCCAGCGCCCCCCCCCAGCAGCAGGGGCAGGAGCTGCTGAAAAGACATCACAGGTTTCGGGAGCGGCTTCTCCATCACTGCTACATCCCAGCACCGCGCTGCTTCCCGTCCTGCTCCGCGCTCGGCGCTGGTTTGGGCTAAAAAAATCCAAAAAAAATAATAAAAAAAAAAAATGGGGCTCGCGCGCTGTGGCAAATGGGGGGGGGTCACCGGGGCTGGAGCTCACCCTGTGCTTGAGGTAGGAGAGGTAGGTGTCCCAGCCCAGCGTCACCACGTTGACGTAAACCACCCGAAATTTGGGGGGCACGTAGAGGAAATTGAGGAGCTGCGCCGCCGGCCACACGCACCAGTCAGCCTGCGGGGAATGGAGGGGGGGGGGGGGAAAAAAACACCAGCTGCCCTCCCCCAGGGAGGGGAGCAGGGCACCCCGAGGGGCTCGGGGACGAGCCGAAGGGCTGGGTTTACCTTATAGAACTCCCAAAATTTCTCCTTGAGCTCCTCCCAGCTCGCCTCCAGGCTCTGACCCTCCAGCGTGCCCATGCCTGCGGGAGAGGCAGCATCAACAGCGCTCATGGGGGGGGGTCTGGGGTGACCCAGGACGAATGTCACCCCCCCAGGACGAATGTCACCCCCCCCCAGGACGAGTGTCACCCCCTACCTAGGAAGTACCAGGCTCCCAGGGCGGGCGATGCCACCAGCTGGTCGATGAGGACTTTTTTCAGCACCGTCCTCAGCCCCCGCACGCCCCGCGCCGGGAAGGCGGCGTCCAGCCACAGGTACCAAAAATGCATCAGCGGCCCCAAGCTGCAGCCCACGGCGAACATGCGCCCTGCAAGGTGACACCGCCCCCCCCCTGAATTATTAAAGCCACCCTGACCCCCCCCCAAACACACACACACACTAATTTTTACATTATTAACGAGGCCCCGTAACGAGATCCTGCCCCAGGGACCCACGATCCCAGCCCCCCCGCAGCGATGCGGGGCAGGAATTGATGCGAGGATTTTTTTTGGGGTTCCCCCCCTGTGTCCCCCCCCCACTTTATGCTTTGTCACCTGTGCGTGCCGCCTGGCGCTGGTCCTCGGGGTGGTGGCGGAGGTGCCATGCCTGCTGCAGGGTGTCGCCGGCGGCCAGCAGCGCCCCAGAGCTCGCCGTGTTGGTCAGCAGCAGCAGGCGGCCCCCAAAAAGGGGCTGCAGCAGCCGGCGGCCCCGCGCCAGCATCCCTAATAAATTTGGGGGGGATATTTGGGGGTTATGGGGGGGTTAACGGGGGTGGTGGTGAGCACTGTAGGGGCGTGGGGACAGCCCCACGGTTGTGGGATGGAGCACACACCGCCCACCCACTGTGTGGATCTTTGGGTCCTGTGTGGCCCAGTGCTCCCAGTTTGGCCAGTGGTCGCTGCAGGTGGCTGTGTTGGACGCCCCAGTCAGCCCCAGTTATGCTATGGACCCGCCCAGTAGGTCCCAGTTAGCCACGTGGTGCTGCCCAGTTCTCTCCCCCTTTGGCTCCCCCAGTCTGCCCTTACCCCTGCTGGGCCACCCCCAGTCACCCCAGTGCCCCCCAGTCACCCTGTGCCCCCCTCCCCTTACCCCTTGGGACCCCCCCCCAGTTGCCCAGTTACCCCAAGCCCCCCTCAGTCACCCCTACTGTACCCAACCAGTCCCCCCCAGTTACCCCTGTGCCCCCAGTTAGCCACGCCATGCCCCCCAGTTCCCACTGGGAGCCGTCCCAGTCCTCCTTCAGCCCCACCCTGGACCCCTCCCATTTATTTCCATGTCCCCAGTCACCCCAGTAATCCCATATGGGACCCTCCCAGTTCCCACTGGGAGCCCTCCCAGTCCTCCTTCAGCCCCCCCCAGACTCCCCTAGCTATATCTCTGCCCCCTAGTCACCCCCACACATCTCCCAGTTACCCCAGTCCCTCCCAGTAACCCCATATGGAACCCTCCATCCCTCCCAGTTCCCCCTGTGCCCCCCCAGTTCCCACTGGGAGCCCTCCCAGTCCCCCTTCATCCCCCCCCCGGACCCTCCCCAGTTACATCCATGCCCCCCAGTCGCCCCCTCCACATCTCCCAGTTCCCCCAGTCCCTCCCAGTTCCTCCCAGTCCCTCCCAGTAACCCCACACGGAACCCTCCAGCCCTCCCAGTTCCCCCTGTACACCCCAATTCCCCACGGGGCGCCTCCCCCCATCCCCTCTGTGCCCCCCCAGTTCCTCCCAGTCCCCCCAGTCCCCCCAGTTCCCCGCGCCCCCCCCCCGCTCACCGCCGCGCGTTCCGCCACCCGCCCGCGGAGACGAGGGGCGGGGGGAGCGCATTCAGGGCCGGACAACTTCCGGCTTCCGGCGGCCGCCATGACACGTACAGGGACACATGGGGGCCGCCATGACACGTACAGAGCCGCCCTGGGGGCCGCCATGACACGTACAGCGCAGCGGGCGGCCGCCATGACACGGAGCGAGGCCGTCCCCAATGGCCCCGTCTTGTCCCCAACGCCTCGTCCCCAGCCCCCAGCGCCCCCCCCGTCCAGCACAGCACTCGGGGGCCTTTTCTCGTTCCACAACACATTGCTCTTTATTCCCCTCTTGCTCCTCGGCGCTCCCAGCCTCCATCATCCGCCGTGCCTCAGCGCTTGCAGACCGCCCTGGGTTTCGGTGCCTTGGCGCTCTGGCAGCCCTCGGGCTTCTCCCCCTGCCACACAGCGGCCGGTGGTGCCAGGCAGGGCGGGGGGCACGTCCCCACAGCCCCCCCTTGGCACCTCGGCGTCCCCGTCCCACCTGGTAGAGCTGGCACACCAGCCTCAGCAGCGAGCGCTGCGCCTGCTCCTGCAGCTCGTCCGTGTGCTTCTGCGGGACAGCGGGGTGAAGGGCTCATCAAAAAGGGCTCCTCACGGCCCCCCCGAGCCCCTTTGAGCCCCCCCTTACCCCGTTGACGACGATCCAGGGGACGTATTGGTGCGGCGGGTCGAGCGCCTCGGTCAGCTGGGCGTTGCGGTGCATCAGCGCGGTCCCCAGGTCCCCGCGCACGCAGGCGGCGATGCGGCCCGCGTCCAGCTGCGGGGCATAGACCTGCAGGCACTGCCGGGGGGGGGACACACACAGGGCATGGGGCAGGGGTCAGCACGGTGGGGGTGACCCCATGGTGTCAGGGGGATGGGGACGGGGACGTACGGCCTCCAGGTTTTTGGTGGCGGAGGTGCCCGACTCCATGCAGAAGATGACAGGGAAGTAGGTGGTGAAGTTCTCGCCCTCGTGCATCAGGCAGGCCTGCGGGGACGGGGACGGGGATGGGGGAACGGTGAGGATCCCCCCCCCCACAGCGCTCACAGCACTGGGATGAGGATGAGGAGGCAGCAGCCTCACCTGGATCATGTTGCCCAAGCACTCCTCCGAGCCGTGCTGGCACTGGAACTGCCACTTGCCGCCGACTTTCTTCTCCTGCGGGACGAACCGGTCTGAGCGGGGCCGGCGGCACCGGCGGCGTGGGCACGGCGCAGGACGGCTCCTACCTGCGCGTTGCCGTACGGCACCAGCGTGATGTTCATGGTCTCGCTGGGCAGCAGCAGCCAGGTGGTGAAGAGCTGCTCCACCAGGAAGCCGCGGCACGCCGGGCACAAGCTCTCGTAGTAGAGGCTCAGCTCCACGGGAGGAGCCGTGGGGTGCGAGAGGTTGGCGCAGCGGCTCTCCGCCTGTGTGCAGAAGGTTTTGGGGTACAGGGAGATGCAACGGGGTGAGGCTGCAGCTGCCTGTGTGTGCAGGGGATGGGGTAAAGCTGCTGGGATGGGGGCGAGAAGGGGCTGTGCATGCAGCCCCCGGGGCTGGGAGGGAAGCGAAAGAGGCTGGGGGCGTCCTGCGGCTGCAGGATTCCACGTGCCGCCGGCACACAGCGCTGGGGCTTTCCACAGGAACTTCCCCAATGTATTTTGGGGAAAAGTACAGCCAGCGGGGCCAGGACTTTCCTGGGCGGGAGCACAGCACCCACCGCCGGGTGGGCTGCAGCCCGTCCGGGCTCACGGGGTGCTGCCAGCCCCGCTGTGGCAGCGGTCTCACCGTCCGGCAATTCACGGCAGAATAAGCTGAAAGCTGTTTCGTGCTGAAAAAGGAGAAGTGGCAACAAAGCGCGGGGATGGATCAAAGTCCGGCTGCAGCACGACTCTGCCCTGGGGATGTCAGGGAGCACCGCGGGGCCTGCTGGATGCAGGGACCCCGAGCATCCCCACGCCGTGCCAAAGGGATGCTCGGAGCCGGCTCAGGCACCGGGCACGGACACTGCACGGCCGTGGTCCCGCACAACCCAGTCCCAGCCCCGCTCAGCACCGCTGTGTGCAGAGCCTCCCGTGCGTGCCATTTCGGTGGGATTGATCCCCCAAAACCGGGCTGTCACCGCAGCCTTGGGGGGCGGCAGCCCTGGCACCAGCCCCGTGGCTCTGACCTGGCAGGCGACGGCGATCTCCCGCGAGCTGCACCAGAGGTGGGCCGGGTAGTCACAGGCAGGCAGGGCCACCACCACCAGCCCCGGGGCCAGCAGGGCCAGCAGGGCCAATGCGGGGGCCATGGGGACGGCGGGGTGGCCGGGAGCCAGAGCAGAGGCGAGCCTGTCCCCGTCCCCGGGAGGACTTTTAAAGCTCGGCTACGCCCGCCTCCGCGCACCCTTCCTGCCCCTCTCGCCCTCCTCCTCCTCGTGACGCCGCCGCTGCTGACTCACGCGCGGGGCCACGGCTCCGTCCCCTCGTCCTTGCTGCCCCGCTGCACGTGCCAAGGGTCAGCGTCGCGGGGTGAGGGCGCAGACCCTGCACGTTTAGGATTTGGGGTGCAGCCGCCCAGCCCAGCCCCGCTGGGGGTGTTGTTTTGCCGTGCACGGGCCGGTTGCAACAGGTCACGGGCTGAAATTCAACCCCGAGCGGCGCGGAGGCTGCGGGGCTCGGCGTGTCCCAAGCAGCTGGGGGCAGCCCTGGCCGTGCTCTGAGCCCCCGCCAAGCACCCCCAGCCCCACGGCTCTGCACCAGGGCCGTGGGTGCTGCCCAAACCCGTTCCTGGGTTTGGTTTTGGGGGCGGAGGAGGAGGAAGCTGGTACTTCCCCTGCTGGTTGCAGCCAGGCGTTTCCGGACGGTTCTTGCCCCTTTGGGCCCCCCCCTCTGCCCTTTCCTGCTTTTGGTCCCCTGGGAGACCCCTGCTCCCCCGCAAAGAAACGCCCGCAGCCACATCATTAATTCTGTTTTATTTGTGTTTTTGTCATTTTTTTTTCTTTTTTTTCCTTTTTTCGAAGTACCGTACAAAAATCCTTACAGTAACAAATACTGGGTTTACATTAGTAAACATCAACAGAAAGAGCAAAGAGAAACTACTGCTGGTAACGAACAGCTGAAGTGGCAAGTTAGGAGTATTTATTATTGCATATACCTAAAGAACTAAAAAATCTCAGTAGCGCTCACACAGCCGCCACGTCCTCTCCGAGCACAAAGCGGTCGGGGACACCCGTGCCACCTCCGGCCACTCTCCGGTGACACGAGAGCCCTCGGGGTTACGGCGGGGGGCTCGGAGCAACGCGAGCCGACCCGAAGCAGGAGGGGTTGGACGCGTTTTTTTGGGACCTCGCCGCGATGCCGGGGGCTGCCCTCGCCCCCTGGAAGGGCCGAGCTGTGCCCCAAGGAGCAGGGACGGCCGCGGTGCACCCATGGGACGTGGGCACGCGGTTTTGGGTGGGGGACATGCGGGTGACAAGCAGCAAAGCACAGCCCAGGGCCTCGAAAACACATCACTACCTGGTTAACCCGGAGGCGCGGACAAGCACGAGCGAAAGCATCAAAAAGACAAATCACAAACTAGCTTATTCCAGGGGGAGCCGCGCTGCAGGGAGCTCGGGGCTTGGTTCTTCCACCCGCCGGGGACAGAGGGGCGAAGCAGCGGTTCTGAGAGCCGAATCGAGCACTGTCGGGGAAATGGCAGCCCTGGGGAAGGGCTCGTTCCTCCTCGCTGCACACAAGACCACGAGCACGGCCCTGCTGGGGCCAGACCCATGGTGAGGGCGGCGCTGGAAGACGCGGCGGGGCCACCATCGTCCTGCTGCAGCTGGGGGCAGGCAGGGACGGCGTGGGGAAAAGCAGAAATTCGGCCAGGAGGGTAAAATTAAAAATAAAACCAACGCTGTCACGGGAAGCTGGAATTTCCTCGGCAGCAAAGCCCTGGGGAAGCACCGAGCGAAGCGCTGAGACACGGAAACCCAAACGCGGTGGCTGGCGTGGGACCGGCCCCAAGCTCAGCTAGGTGGGGTTGTGGGGGGGGAAAGGGGCTGGAGGAGCCCACCACAGCCCACCCTGCAAGGCAGGAGCCCAGCCCAAGGCTTTGGGGTGTCCCAGCACCCCACAGACCCTGGGGGGGCTCTGTGTCTGCGCTCCGAGCACAGGGGCTGGCGGCCCTGCTCCCACCTGCCCCGATCTCGTGTTTCTGAGCCCAAACCATTCCCTTAACTGCCACTGCTGGCTTTTGCCAGGTGAGCCCCCGAGCGATAGCACCGAGCACTGACAAAAGAGGGGAGCCCCAAAACAGAGCCCAGGGCCACAGAGCAGGGAACAGGGTCTGTACAGCTGAGCGTGGGAGAGCTGCCGCAAAAAAGGGGAACGTGACGTTTGCTCCAACAACCCCAGACCCCAAAAGGATCCAAAAGGATCTGGGAACCTTCCCGGACCTGCACGAGCAGCAGAGGTGACCGGGGGAAGAGGGAGAGCGAGGGATAGCAACGGGGCAGGCCCTGCTGCAGGCGGTGCGTGGAGGATGGGACGCAGGCAAAGGACATGCGAACGCACCGTGCTCTGGCACTGGGAGTGCAGGGCGCCCCGCAGAGCGAGCTGCACCACAAAGCAGAAGCAGCAAAACCTACAGCATCCCCAAGCCCTTCCGGAGGTCCCGGCAAGGAAAGGGGAAGAGCCTCTCAGGCAAATCAGAGAGGACGACCAATGCTCTGCTCAATCCAGGCAGACCGGATAACCCCGTAAAGCAGAAACCACCACGGCCTCGGCTCACAGGCTCGGGTGCAGCTTTTACAAACCAAAAAATTGCGCTCAGCAATTTCTGCAAAGCCAGAAATTTTTCTGCAAAGCCCTGCCCGTGCCTGCCAGCTGCGAGGGGCACCCCTACAGCGACCCCCCTCCCCTCCCCATCCAGTCCCCATACAGTACTGACGAATATAAGTGCTTTGCATACACAGTTCCACATCATGCATATACATTTCTACGTGCTAAGGCCCCGAGGCCCAGCGGAGATACCGTCCTCCTGCAGCAGAGGTCCTTCATTTTGCGTCGGGCTCGTAGTGTGCGGCGGGCTCCGAACCCCCTCCTGCTCCAGCCGGCAGGAGCCGAGCCCTGCAGCAGCCCGGATGGATGCTGCCCACGCGCTTGCAGGTGGGAGTGGGAGCTGAGCACCCGCCGGGACTAGGTAGAAAGCAGCTGATTACAAAAAGAACCATATTTACAGAGCTACAGTTAGCTTCAACGGGTTGCGCTCGCAGAGATTCACCAAAGACAACCAGGAGAACAAAGAGCTGCGCGCCCCGGGTACCGACGGGGGTTTCACAGCTTAGTTGGCACAACTAAGGGGAGAGATTCGTCGCCTGCCGGGTCCTCCCTGCCCTGGCAGCAACGCTCAGGAGGGGGCTACGACACCAGGGAGAAGGAGCACAGCACGGAGCGGGGACCTCGGCCACGAAGCCCCCTCCCCAGCACGCCCGCCGCCCCACGGACACTTTTCTCTTGGTGAAACCGAGTCCCTGCACAACGGAGCAGCAGCCCTCGTACCAGACACCAGCTCCCACCCCAGCCCACGAAGTCACCGAGGGAAGGGAGAGCGGAGGACGCGTACGCTCGGCGGAGGCTCCTCCTCTGCCTTCTCCAGCGCCCGGGGCAGGGAGCCCCTTGCCCAGAGCAGCAGTGACCTGCACCAGAGCGCAGGGGAATCAGGATCTAGCTCTACGGTGATGCATAGCGGGGCAACCTGCCAGCAAGAAGGGGTCTGACCTGTTTGTCGGGGAAGGGGAAGGGCTGTGCTCGCCCACAGCGGTTCAATTCCAACTGGATCCCACCTCCTAAGGACTGGAGCCCACTGGGAGGCAACAGCCCAGCCTTTTTTGTCCCATCAGCCAACACGGGTTTCAGCTACTGACCAAAAAAGGGACACCAGGAACGGTCACAGACATCTCGGAGGCTCTGGAGGGGCAGGAGCACAGAGACTCAACTATACAGGGTGCAAGAGTCCAGAGCCAGAAAGCAGTGCCCTGGGGAGAAGCTGAAGGCAGCTGTTGTGTTGTGCACGGGCTGCTCATCTGGCGGGTGGCTGGGAAAGGACCGGGTGAGCCAGCGTGACATTCAGGGAGTCATTGTGCTGCACCAGGGACGTGTGCTTGTAGTGCAAGACCAGGTCCTTGAGGGAGGCGTAGAGGTTGTAGGGCTCCGCGAAGCCGTAGCCAGACGCCGTCTTGTAGATGACGCAGTGCTTGGTGTCACCGTCCACCCTGCCGGGGAGAGAAGGGAGCGCGGGTTAGCGGCGAGCGAGGAACCCCCGCAGGGAGAGCGACGGCGGGGCACAAGCAGGAGCAGCCCAAAGCCAACGTCTGGCCCTGGCACGAGGAGCTGAGGCAGACGGGAGAGCTGGGGGAAGCCCAGCCTGCCAGCTGACGCCTCCGCCAGCCTCCAGCATCTGGCAGGAGAAGGGCAGGGCGACACGGGAGCGCGGCGGGTGCCAGCCCCATCCTGCCACGTCTCCCTCTGCCCGTCTGTGCTCCCCACGTGTTGAGCTGGCAGCCCCGACCCCACGGAGGTACTCACACCACGGAGCAGGCGTAGCACCCCTTCTGGCTGCTCTCGCGGATCAGGAAGGTGCCGTCCCGCTTGCCGCACAGCATCTCCTCGGCCTGCAGCCGGTTGATCTTCCCCACGTACCACGTCCGCTCCTCGTGGTGAGGCAGCTCCTCCTCGTCGTCCATCATGGAGTACTGACTGCAACCGAGCACACACACAGGGTGTCAGGGACCCTCACTTCAGGCACGTGGCCCCCCAGCATCTCCCCTGCCAGCACTCCTCCCAGCAGGGAATTCATCCTCAGCTCCCAGACAGGGCGATGGGACTTGCCCGAGGCTCTGGAACAGCCCCCCCACACCTCCCGACACGCGAGCGGGGACACTCACTCCTCCGTCTCGTTCTTGATGCCCAGCCACTCGTTGATTTTCTTCTGCCGGGCACCTTTCTGCGTCAGCCACCTGGGGAAGGAGAGGCAGAGCTCAGGAGAGGCAGCGCTCCCGCAGCCATCGCCAGAGGGCAGCAACCTCCCCCCTTTGAGAAGCCGCCATTCCCTGAAGCCGATGCACGCAGCAGCCCCGTGAGCCGGTCCAACAAGCCTCAAAGCCCTCGAGGAGCCAGCTGGAAGGCTCCTGGGCCGGGCTGGAGGGGGAGCAGGGCCCCTCTGCCAGCCCTCCGCGGGGGTAGGAGCTACCTACACCAAGTACTGGTCCCGCAGTTTGCGCAGCTGCATGAGGTCAGGCTTGAGGCTGTTCATGCGCTTGTCGATCTCCCGGTTTTCTGAGGCTTGTTTCTTCAGGTCCTGCTCCAGCTTCATCTTGCTGTCGTGAATCTCCGTGATGCGAGATTTCAGCTTCTCCGAGTTCATGAGGATCCTGGGAGGAGGAGAAGAAAGGGCGGGAGAGGGGGGGGAAATTCGGCTGTGAGCCAAGGTGGGGGAGGCGGAGGAGGCAGCCTGCCAGCTCCCGCCCGCAGCAGGAGCGCCGAGGACAGCGCGTGCCTCAGCTCTGCCCCGAGCCCCCACGATCTCCCCCCAGCCCCAGGAGCCCTTCCCCAGGCAGGGCAGGTCACCACTGCCCCTAGTCCTCACCGCTGCACCTCCTTCTCGTTGCCCTCCCTCCGGAAGCGCTCGATGTACTCCTTGCTGCACTTCTCCTGCGTCTGACACTGCTCCTCGAAGATCTTGATCGTCTCGTTGAAGGCCTCGATTGCCGTCCTCTTCATCTGCAGCTCCTGAATTCGGAGAGAGTGGAGAGCTGAGGAAGCGGCGAGGATTTGGGCAGGTTTCTGCCCGTCTGCAGCCCCTTCCCACCCCCCTCCCCATCCAGCACCGTCCTAAGTGCAGTCAAAATATCCCCCACTTCAAAGCCCGTTCTCTGAGGGGCCCCCTGAAACCCAGGAGCAGACAAATGGGGCAGTGGGTGCCCAGCCTCTGCTCTCTGTGCCCCGTGTGTGCCCCCCGGGGACACGTACCTGGGACGTGCGCGTGTACTCCTCGTACAGCAGGTCGTACTCCCAGCTCTTGTCCTGGTACTGCTGGTGATAGACTTTCAGCTGCTCTCCCACGGCTTCCACGCTGTCCTCTTTCACCACTTGGTCCTGCCACACACACAGCCTCAGTCAGGACCCGCTCCTGCCCCTCTACAAGGTAACAGGCCCCCAAAAACCCCACCAGCCCTGCAGGGTGCCCCACAAAGCAACATCCCAGCACGGGGAAGAGGCGCTGCGTCTACCAGAGGGCCGGGATGATGGATGCCCCTGTTTTGGGCTGTCCCTGCAGCACCGACCTCACCTGCTGGTACTTGGAGATGGGGTAGAGCAGCCGCGTGTCCAGCTTGGCGTTGTACTGGGCGAGCGACTCGTGCCGGTAATGTGTGATGAGCTCCACCACCGAGCCAAAAGTCAGGGGCTCCGAGAAGCCGTACTTGCCTTCCCGGTGGAAGATCTTGATCAGTTTGTTGTTGCCTCCTTTCCTGCAGAGAGGAGGGGAGAGCAGAGGGTGTTTATCACCACCGCAGTGCCCTGCACCGGCCTGGATGTGTCCCTTGTGCCAGCCCGACGTCCCAGCTGCCACAAGCACATGGATACAGGCCAACGGCTTCGCCCCAGAGCAGCAGAGGCTCTGGGAGATCCCAGTTTCCTACCTGAGTGTGAGCGTGTACTCGCCCTGGATCTTGCTGGAAGCATCCCGCACCAGGAAGGTACCGTCCGGCGTGTCCCGCAGCTTCTCGTTCACTTCCTCCCTGCGAGGGATAGGGATGATTGTCATGGCCCGCGAGGCACAGACAGAGCTGCCCTGAACCCGACAGGGTGGGCACACAGAGCTGGAGCTGCCGGCCACCCCCTTACCGGGAAATGTCACCCCAATACCACTCGGCGTCCTGCAAGGGCACGCTGTTTCCGTTGGCCAGGCTGGCGGCGCTGGGCTTTGGCTTAGGAGGCTTTGGAGGCAACGCTGTAAGAGAAACACGGTTGAGGAGGGGTTGAATTCGGGCTGGCCCAAGTCCCAGCTCCCCACCCTTGGAGCTCCAAGTCCCCCTCTCCCTTCAGTGACTGTCCTGGGAAGCCCCACTTGGCCGCTGCGCTGCCAGGAGCTGCTCCAGGCACATCTACAGCCAGAGATCAGCACCTCCAGGAGGCATCCGAGCACAGCTGGGCTACAGAAAGCCCTCGGCAATCTGCTTGTGGAGGCAAAATCCACGCCCACGGAGCACAAACGGCAGCACCTCGGGCCCCAGGGGGGCGTTTCAGCCACTGGGGACGGTACCTGGAGGCAGCTGTTCCGGCTCCAACTCCTTCAGCTGCAGAAGCATCTCCAGAAAAAGCACGGAGAAGTCAGGGCTCAGCTCTGGGCTGTGGGGAGAGAGGAACCAGTGAGATCAGCCTGGGCTCCTCGTCCTGGCAGGCAAAGCGGCCGGCACAGGGCACGCGGCACGGACCCGAGAGCCTCACGTACCTGGCGCCAGGCAGCCGGAGGAGAAGGGGGCCGAAAATCTCTCCCAGGGCCCGAGGGTGGAGGTTGTTGCTCTCGGCCTGCTGTGATACCTTCCCCAGATGCCGGAGCAGGAACTGCAGGGTGAGCGTGTTCTGGAGCGGGACCGCAGGCGACTCCAGGGCCAGCAGCAGCTGTTTCCGGCAATTCTCCGGCTGGGGAACCTCTGGGGAGAGAAGCAAGACACGATGGGGAGGGCTGGGACAGCCGGCACCGCGCTCCACGTGCTGGCAGCCACGGGGTGGGAGCGCTGTCAGCAGCAGAGGCCGTGTGACAGACCCCATAGGGGCAGGATCTGTTTTAGTAACCCAAACGCTTCCTTCCCACCCGCGTCCCTGTTCCAAAGCGTGGCCGGGGAGGCCCTTACCCTGCAGGACACGAAGGATGTCTCCGTGCACCGCCACGGGCACCACGGGGGAAGGCAGGTCCTGCAGGTAGCCGCGCAGCGCCTCGCCCAGGGAGTGCACGTCAAAGGGCTCCAGGTCACCCAGGCTCCAATCTGCCAGGGGAGAGATCTCCCATGGGTGGTGGGCGCACACCCCGGGCACCCAGGAGGCAGCCCCGGTGCTGCCAGCACCTCGCAGCCATCCCGCGGCACAGCAGGAGCGCAGCGAGTTTGGGGGGGGTCAGCACGGTGAAGCCAGGCAGCTGGGGTCAGGCCACAAAGCAGCCACAAAGCCCCAGGCACGGCTGGGCTGCGGGGATCTGCACAAACAGCCCTGAACTCGCTGCAAGCTCTGCTCCTGCGGGAGACGCGGCCCACGCTCGCTGCAACCCCCCCGGCCAGCCAGAGAGCCTGGGATGCGGCACACGAGACCCCCAGGGGAGCACAGAGCTCTCAGAGCCAAGCAACCCACACGGCCAAGACCTCCTTGACATGCCCATGTCCCACGTCATGCTGCCTCAGGCTCCCCCAGGAGGGCACGGAGGTAATTTGGTGTGCCCGCACCTTCTGCGGGTCAGAGCTTTTTGTTCCTTGCTGCTGTTAGAGATGTATGTGGAGAGGGAGACAGCCGACCGGCCACATATGGGGAAAACGTGAGGAAAATGCCACGGCTCCAGCCCCCAGGCTGAGCTCCGAGATCCTCCCCTGCTTGTTCGTGGCGGGACGGAGCCAGAGGAGCCTCTGCAGCACCCTGAGCGCAGGGTACCCCAAAGAGACAGCAGGAGATGTGTGGGGAATTCACTGCGAGCCCCCCAGCTGGTGCTGCATCCCTTCACCCCAGCAGGAATCCCCCCGTCCTGTCCCATCCCGTCCCCAGCACGAAAAAAGAAGGGGCCGGGGCAGGACAGGGCAGGCCCAGCCCCACAGGCAGCGTGCCGGCAGTCAGGAACTGCCGGGGACAGGCGAGCCCGGCCTGGATTGCATTAGTGCTGGCGCTGTCACATCCCCTAATCTCCTCCATCTGAGCCCGTTTGCCTCCTCGCCGCGACGAGCTGGTTCTTACCGGTTCTCAGAGCTTGCCTCAGTTCGGAGCCAGATGTCCTGTACAACATCTCGCTGTCTAACCCTGCGGAAACGAGGAGCTGCTGTGAGCTGTGAGCTGCGAGCCCCGCGGCTTGCGAGCGGCCGTTTTACAGCCAGCCCTGTTGCCAGCCCCGCTGCCAGCCCAGCTGGCTCCCACAGATGCTGCCACAGCCCCCCCGTGCCCCCCGGGACTGCCCCGCTGCAGCTCCAAGCCCTGGCTCAGCGCCCTCACGGCACGGATTTAGGGTAGGGTGCTCTGTAGCGCCCAGGAGAGCTTGCCCAGCACCCAGCCGGGCTGTGTGGGAGTCCCGCTGCGAACCCAGTGCTGCAACACGAGCAATTTCGGATCAGGACGGCACAGTGGGGTCAGGCCAGACCCTGGGGACCCGAAATTTGAGGCCAGGGAGGAGCGGGAGGCCCCCCTCCTGCAGGCAGCTGCGTGCCGTGTGTCGCGCTGAGCTCGGTCCAACGGCCAGCAGCTTTGCACAGCAGCTGCCTTCCCCCCCCCCGGCCTCACCGCGGCTCTCGGGCCCCTACCTTTCTTCTCGATGGCTTCCACCAGCTTCACCAGCAGTGGCGGCGCGATCTCCGGGGGACTGAACTGCTCCTGCAGGTCGGGGAGAGGAGACCCTGGGGAGGAGGGAGAGAGAGAGGAGGCGTCAGACCCAGCTCGGCCCGAAACAGAGCCAGGGATGGACACAACCAACGCTGCTCCCAGCAGTGATGTCCCTGAGCAGGGAAAGCCCGGCCCCTGCTGCCAGCCACAGCCCCGCAAACACCGCACGGAGCCCGCGAGCTGGCCCCAAAACCCGCACAGCACTTGTTGAGCCCAGCCTTGCTCGGAGCCCTACAGAGCACAGTGGGGTGCACGCACGTCAAGGGGTCCCCGCTGCTTTCTGCAGAGCTGAATTTACCTCCCTGAGCACCCCGGGGATTGAGGACACCCGGGCAAGGCACCACAGGGGTTACTCGGGCTCCAGAGCTCCGGCCAGGCTCAGCCTCTGCCCGGGCCAGGACGCGGCACGGGGCTGGCGGAGCGGTGCGGCCGGGGAGCTCGCTCGCGGCACTGAGCTGTGATTAATGCAGCGATTCAGGCAGAGCGCTGCGTCAGCAAATTCCTGCCCTCGATTGCTCGCAGAACATGGAAACCGGCCCTCTCGCTGCCTCCCCCTCCCCGCTACCCCTACGGCCTCCTCCTGTGCAAGCTGGTACGGGGCACGGGAACCCACAGGCACTGGGACCCCGCTGCCCTTTGGGGTGGGGGGAGCCGCGGGCAGGCGGCGATTTCCACGTGCCCTGAGCCCCACGAGGCCTCCCCACCACAGCCGAGCGCTCCCAAACCCTCTCCACGAGGACCCAGGGCACGGCCCCGCGTGGAGCAGCGGTGTTTCAGCGCCGCCTCGGGTCTGTAATGGGGTGGGGGCAGCGTGGGAAGGGCTGCGGCACGCCGCCCGCCGGGGCTGCTGCTGCTGCTGCTGCGCCCGAGGCGCCTCTCGGCGAGCTGGAGCCGGAGCTGGGAGCTGCAGCTGGATCACGGGGCCGTGTGGAGGAGCTGCCAAGGCGGGGAGCCTACGTGCTGCGGCGTGGTGGCTTCGGGGCTGGCTCGGCAGGGCCCCGGGCACCCTTCCCTGCGCTCAGGGTGACGCAGGCCGGGGCAGGAGCGCGCACGCCTGGCTACGAGGCTGCCAGAGGGAGCGAGAGCAGAGCCAGGTTGAGCACCGGGCAGGGCACGAGGCTCCCCCGGCACCGGGGGAAGTCGGAGGTCTGTGGGGACAGCCAGCATGGGCTGCTGGATTGTGAAATGTGGCCCTGGTGTCACAGCTGTGACCACAACTTGCCCAGTGTGTGCCCGGCTGAGCCTCGTGGCCCCACGGCCTCAAAAGGGGGGACAAAGCAGCTCGGGGCAGTGCTGAGGAGAAAGGAGCAGCTCGGCAAGGCCCCAAACTGCTGCAGGAGGACCCCACAAGCACAGCAGGGCCGTGCAAAGAGTCACCCCGGTGTCCCCGGGGCAGGACGGGGCCCTGCACGGTGCTGCTTGGGGCTGGGCCTGACCCTCGGAAGGGAGAAATAAAAAATCTGAGCTCCCCACGTGGCCTGGCCGGGAATGTGCCGCTTCAGCAGGCAGCAGCTCGTGTTTTTGGCTGCCAGCAGCGGGTCCTGAGCCCGCCGTGCTCCGGGCAGGGCCGAGGGAACAAGGGCACTCAGAGCGCGGCCGGGGAGGCTGCGGAAATATTTCCGAGCCGCATTTTCCGCTCGTGCTCTCTGCAGAAGGTGAACGCCAACACCAGGGGCTCAAATTCAGCCTCGGAAAGAGCCAGGCCTCGCTGCTCTGCCTCGTGGCCGTGCACCCGTGCGTGGCGGAGGGGCTGAGGGACCCCCGGCGGCCAGGACAACCCCAGAAAGGAGCAGGGCAGGAATTGAGGCGGCTGCGAGCTGCGTGGGGGCAGCCAGGAGCCGTCTGTGCACCTCCCAGGCAGGCCTCACCCCAGCGGGGCAGGCAGACCGCGAAGAACTACCACGGGCTTGGCTTCCGTACAGCTTCTGGGGTGCAAAAAAATATATAAATTAAATAAATAAAACGCACCAGGGCCAACACGGCCACCCCAGAGCGTGCCCCAGGCTCCCGGGAGGAGCTGAGCCTTGTGCAGGCAGCTTGGGAGCAGGGTGACAGGTCAGCAGGCACCCACTGCCACCCCCGGCCGTGTGCCCACCCCGTGGAGATGTCCCCAACCCCGAGGGGTGCAGCAGTGAGACACCCAGCCCCAGCACCCTGCCCCGTGCTCCTCTCCACCCCTCAGGACCCCAAAGAGGGTCCGTCCAGCGTCTGATGGGACAGAAAAGAAAGAAAAAGGCAGAAAAGGAACAGGGATGCAGCTCTCCAGGCAGTGCCAAGCCCGGCTGTGCCCGTGCCCTGCCCAGCCCCAGCCCTGCCACCCGTGGACAGGGAGCGGTGCCAGGCAGGCGAGCGATTAGCTGCAGCTCTGCAAGTCCTCTTCTCCACCCGGACTTTCCTCCTCCTGCCCAGAGAGGAGGAATTGTGCGTCTCAGCGGGGCCAGGAGGCGCTTGGCAGGGAGCGGCAGAGGCAGGGAGGCGGGTGGGAGAGGTCAGATTTTTTTTTCTTGAGGGAAGGAGCGGGGCAAAACCTCGGCAGGGCAGGGAGAGGGGATCCATGGGGCTGGTTGTGGGCCAGGGAAGGATTTTGGAGAGGTTACAGCGGGACGGGGCTCGCCCTGAGACGCAGCACCAAGGAGCTCAGAGCACGGCAGGAACAAAGAGCTGGCTTTTTGGCCAAGGCTGAGTGTGAGCACACAAAACCCGAGCAGCTCAGCTGCCAGGGCAGCGAAGGAGGCACTTGGCAGAGCTTACCTTGCTCTGGAGCCTCCTGCAGCCGGCAGCCGCCAGCCCCCGGTGTGGCGGGCAGGGGTCTCTGCACCCGGGGCCGATGCGAAGGGACGGAGATCTTCACAGGCCCCACGTACTCCACGTAGGTGCCGGGGAAGTCGCCCTTCTGCTTGGTCCTCTCGTTGACACCCAGGATCCAGCCGATCTGGTTGGGGTTCTGCTCGTCGCCGTCCTTGAAGCCCAAGGCTTGCAGGGCCCCCTTGCTGACCACCAGGATGTCTCCGGGCAGCAGGTCGATGTCCTCCTCGCGCTCCTTGCGGTAGGGGTAGAGGGCGCGGTACTGGAAGCCGTCGGTGCTGCCCATCCTCTCGGCCATGGCGAGAGCGGCTCCGAGCTTTCTCTGCTTGGAGAGGCGAGCCCTCAGGGGCAGCTCTCCCCCATCGGCGCTCTCCAGAGGTCTCTGCACGAAGCGGCGCCTCGGGGAGCCCGGTCCCAGCGCCCCGTGGTGCTTAGGTGCAGCCCCTTTTCCTCAGCTTGAAGCCGCGATTCAGCCAGATGATGGAGCAGAGGGAGAAGGAGACGACCATAATCCAGCGCTCGCGAGAGGGCATGCGGCGGAGAAACGCAGCCGGGTCCCGTTCACCACAAGAGAGGCGGCTTTCCCGGAGCCTGGAGGGTGAGAGCTGAGAGCCGAGAGCCACAGGGCATGCTGCTTCTGCCTCCCCAGCACCTGTGGGGAGAAAAATGTGGAGTGTCACCACCCAGCACGGCGCCCCGAGCCCCCCAGGATGGAGCAGGGGGCTCGTGCTTGGTGAGGTAGGGCTCGCTCCTCGCCCTGCCAGGCTCCTGCCGAGCCCTGCATCCGGGCGCTCCTTGCCAGGACATGCTGAGAGCGAATTTGCACTCCAAAAAAAAAAAAAAAAAAAATACATAAAGGGGAGAGAGGAGCCGGCGGCTGCTCACAGGGAGGACACCTCCTCCCCTGCTCTCCGCGCAGCGCTTCTGCGAGCGAGGGCACAGCGAGAGGGACAGGACGGCCTTTATGCGGGAGGTGGTGCCCAGGGAATTTCACCTTTTCTGGTGAAATTGGCATCTTTAGAAGCCTTCGAGCCTGCTTCGAGCTGCTACCTGCCTCTGAGCTATTGAAATAGAGAGAAATGGAAGGATGAGGGTGCCTGCCCGGCCCAGAAAGCCACCAAAAAGAACAGACCCAGGTTGTGACACGTTGTTGGAGGGCTGCAGAGCCGGGGCATTCCCCCCCAGCCATGCACGGCCCCTTTCCCATCCCCTCCCTGCCCTTTCCAGCTCCCTCGGGCTGAGCTGGGCGAGTCCCAGCGCTGAGGAAGGGACCTCGAAGGCAACGGGGCGGCCGCAGCTGGAAACCAGTGCTCCCAGTGCTCCCAGTGCCCCTGCCGAAACGCTGCGGGTCCTGCTGATGGCTCGAGCTGCTTTGGCGCAGAAACCCAAACCTCACCTGTTTCCCAAATCCCATCCCGGCCAGGAAAATACAACTCCACGACCTGGAGCACAGATTTACAGCCGTGCTCCGCCGCCTGCCCCTTGCCCCTCTGAGCTCTGCCTACTGGGGTCTGAGGCAGAGCAATCCCAGCAAGGACAGAGCCCAAAACGTGCCCCGAGGCAGCGGGGCCGGCACCTCCCCGGCTTCCACGCCGGGATTTTGGCACCGAGGTGAACTCGTTCAGTGGCTTTGGAGAGCAGAGCGTGGCCCCGGAGCTCCCGAGGCTCCCCGAGGAGCAGGTCCCACAGCTTCTGGCTCCCTCCAGCCCGGCGCCGGCTCTTGCACAAGGCGAGGAGCTGCTCGCAGCCCTGGCTCTGGGCTGCCCTGCTCCCCACGCCCCAGCACCCAAAAATCTGGGGGAATTCACCCAGCGCCAGGCTCCCCTGCCTCCCCGTGCTGCGAGTGGTGACGGAGGGCAAGGAGCACCCGGCTCCAAACCCCGAAAAGCCCCCGTGGGATGGCGACGGCGGGGAGCAGGCGTGTTTTTGGGGAGGGGGAAGGGACCACGCGTTTCCCCAAGCCCTTAAACAGATGTTTGGAGGGAAGGCAAGCTCGGGAAGGAGGCAGGAGGTGCTGGGAGCGCGGGACACGCACGAGCCTGCCCGCTGCAAGCACACGTCTGGAGCTGGGGGCTCTGCGTGCGCTGGGTTTCCAGCAGCTCTCCAGCAAAATTTTGGCTGGGCCCAGCTCCAGGCTCGCAGGGAGGAAGCCTCGTGTGTGTGTCCGTGCTCGGTGGGCTCCCCCCAAACCCCCCCGCCATCAAAATACCTTCGGTCCATCTATCGCCGTGCCCAGAAACAATCGGGCGATTCATGGGCTGCTGTCAGGACTTGCTTTGTTCGACGCATCAGCTCGGAACAAAAAGCACACTGCGAGGCTTTTGGTGCCTAAAGAAAAGCATCTTAAGGCTGAAAACGCGGTTCCTGAGCTTCTCAAGCCAGCTCCAAGCGCGGTTCAAAGTGCAGCTCGACTCGAAGCGAGCCTAAGCGTTGCTTTCCCTCCAGCGAGGCGAAAGAATGCATAAAAATATTTGGAAAAAAAAAAAAAAAGGGATGTTTGTGACAGCCTGCACGGCCAAATGCGTCCAAGTTACATCAGATCCTGGGGAGGGGGGAACCCAGCTCCAAATCAAGGCCTGAGCTGCGAGGTGCTGCAAAGAAGGAGAAGGAACCTTGCTTTGGAGAGAAAGGAGGACGATGGAACCACGGGGAGAAATAAAAACGGTTCAGGGTTGGGGTTTGTGCTTCCAGGCTGCCTCGTGCTTCCCTCCGAGCAGCGAGCGCCGTCCCGAGCCGGGGCTGCCCCTGCCCCAAGCCTCGTAGAGGGGGCACAGAGCAGCCGTTTCCAGCTCTTTTCTCACCAAAAAACACTTCTGATGCAGCAGAGCACGCAGCAGGGCCCTGTGAGCAGCAGCTCTCCGGGGACGCCGCGGTTACTCCTCCGAATACGTGACCGCTGCCGACCTCGTGCTTTGGGAAGTTTTGGAGGAATTGCTCGGGTTTCTCCTCACCCAGGGCCTTTCTTGCTCCCACTGGAGCTCACCCACCTCAGGAGCTTTCTCCTCCTCACCTCCAGAGCCTTGTGCTCGGCTGGAAGCTTCCCCGGCACCGAGTGGAGAAGGGCGACGTGCCTCGCACCAGGTCCCTCTGGGATCTGGGATCCCTGGGATCGCTGTGACAATTTGTTAGGAGCCCTCCGAGCACAGCCACGGCACGAAGCAACCCACGAGGTGAGAGGGAACCGCAGCAGCAGGGCAGGGTTATTAGGATAGGGGCTGACAGCAAACCCTGTGGCTCCTTTCCTCCTTTATCTCCCCTCACCCCGCGGCTCCAGCGCCGAGCCGCCGCTCCAGATATCCTCAGAGGAATTCAAAGAGCCCCCGATATTATAAATACTCCTTTTTTTTTTTTATATTATAAACACACCGAAGCGCCGGCACTCTGCCACCGCTCCAAGCTGGCTCGGCTCCCCGCTGCATTCCAGCTGAGCTGCGGTTTTCTCTCCCAGCCCGGAGCTTTTGTCCGGCGAGAACCGACGAGGGGCAGAGAGGATTTGCCCACGTTCCCAACCCCTTTTCCTAAGGAGTTAAAAAATAATAAAATAAAATAAAATAAATAAAAAAAAGGAGGGTCTGGGGGGCAGCGCTCGCCCCCCCGGGAGGAGCCAGGCGCCGCCGAGCGCCGCAGGGGGAATTGGAAGCAGGATTTGTGCGCGTCAGAGCCGAGAGTCACCAAAGAAACCCAACCATCCCTTGGACTTTCCCACATCATGGAAGGGGCAGGGACTGGAGCAGAGGCCAAGCCAGCCTCCGGGACACCCCAGCCCCTTCGCATGCGAGGGAAAGGCGGGCGGAAGGGCCGGGAAAGCGCCGATTTAGGCTCTATTTACTCAGCTGTCTCCATTCTCTCGCTCTCACAGAGGGGAAAGTCACAGGGCCAGCTCCCCAGCGGCCCCCGGAGCTGCTCTGGCAATAAAAACCGGGCGCTGACGGCGGGCGAGGCAGCCATTCCCCCGCCACAGCGGGCACACGGGTGCTGCACGGCGCCGCTCCAGCTCCCGCACCGCTCCTTCAGACATTATTTCCCCCCCCCCCCAGCTTTTATTTCCCATTCCTCTCCCTTTCGCAAGTCCGTGGCCATGGGAAACTTCCCCTTCGAGGGGCTGCGGAGTGTCCCCAGGAGCCAGAGGCACGCAGGGCATGGACCCCGCTGCAAGGAGCCGCGTTGGCCCCATCCCAGGAGCTAGGATTTGGGGGGTGAGGTGTTGGTGACCCCCCCCCAAGAGGATCGCTGCCCCCCAGGGCACTGAGCCCCATGCTGGGGAAGCTCAGCCCAGCACCACGGCGCTGAGCAGCGGCCCCAGCCCTCACACAGGCTGCCCACGACCCCCGGCTGCACCCAGGGGGTCCCTGCAATGGGATCTGGGGGGGGGGGGGGGCTCTGCAGGCTGAGGGGGGGGCAGCGCCAGCCCCGGTAGTGCTGAGAGACACGGAGGGGACGGGGACGCCTCAGCACAGCCCCAGGAGGGGACAGGGGACAGGGCCTAGGCCCGATCAGGCGCTGTGCCCCCCCCCAGGACCCCCCTCAGGGCTCGTTGCCCCCCCTTAGGACCCCTTTAAGGCCCATTTCGTCCCCCTCAGGGGCTGCTGCTCCTCCTCAGGACCCCCTCAGGGTCCGCTGCGCCCCCCTCAGGACCCTCTGCTCCTCTCAAGACCCCTTCAGAGTCCCCTGAGAGCCCCCTCAGGACCCCCCCGGACCCTCTGAGGGCCCCCTGAGGACCCCCTCAGGCGCTGCCCCCCCCCTCAGAGCCCCCTGAGGGTCCCCTCAGGACTCTCTCAGAGCCCCCTCAGGCGCTGCCCCCTTTCAGAACCCCCTCAAGACCCCCTTAGGGCCCAGCTGCCCCCTCAGAGCCCCCCAGAACCCCCCCAGAGCCCCCTCAGGGCCCTTTCCCCCCCCCAGGGCCTCCTCAGAGCCCCCTCAGGGCCCCCTCAGGCCCCGCTGCCCCCCCCCAGGCCCCCCTCAGAGCCCCCTCAGGACCCGCAGCTCCCCCTCAGCCCCCCCCAGGCGCTTCCCCACCCCCTCCTGCCCCCCTCCCGCCCCCGGTCCCGGTCCCGTTCCCACCTCTCCGCCGCCCCCCCGGGCCGCCGCCGCCGCTCGCCTCCAGCCCCGCTGCTGCCTCCGAAGGGCCCGAACGGCGCCGGAACGGCCCGAGCCCGCCCCGGAAAGGGCCGAACGGGGCCGAACAGCCCCGAAGGGCTCCGAAAGGCTCCGAAGGGTTCCGAAGGATTCCGAAGGCTTCCGAAAGGTTCCGAAGGGTTGCGGAGGGCCCGTGGCCACGCCCCTTCCCCGCCGCCGGGGCCACGCCCCTCGGCCGAGCCGCTCCGGAAAGAGCCGAGCGGCGGCTGGGGAGGGGGGAACGGGAGAAGGGAGCGGGGGCGCCCCCTTGTGGCGGGAGAGGGAAGTGGCGCGGCGCGGGGCATTGCACCGGGTATTGCACGGGGGCTGCACCGGGCATTGGGCATTGCACCGGGCATTAAGAATTGCACCGGGCATTGCACCTGGCATTGCACGGGGGCTGCAACAGGCATTGAGCATTGCGCCAGGCATTGCAATGGGCATTGCACAGGAGCTGCACCGGGCATTAAGCATTGCACCGGGCACTGCATGGGGGCTGCACCAGGCATTGCGTCGGGCATTGCACGGGGGCTGCAATGGCATTGAGCATTGCACCAGGCCTTGCAACGGGCCTTGCAATGGGCATTGCATGGGGGCTGCAATGAGGCATTGAGCATTGCACCAGGCAGTGCATGGGGGATGCACCGAGCATTGAGCATTGCACTAGGCATTGTACAGGGACTGCACCAGGCATTGCACTGGGCATTGCACGGGGGCTGCAACGGCATTGAGCATTGCACCGGGCATTGAGCATTGCACGGGGGCTGCACCAGGCATTGAGCATTGCACCAGGCACTGAACAGGGCATTGCACCAGGCATTGCACCGGGTATTGCACCGGGTATTGCACTGGGCATTGCACAGGGGCTGCACCGGGCGTTGAGCATTGCACCGGGCATTGCAATGAGCATTGGGCACTGCAGCAGGCAGTGCATGGGCATTACACGGGCACTGCAGCAGGCATTCATTTGCACCACGCACTGCAATGGGCTCTGCAATGGGCACTGAATTGCACCGGGCACTGCATGGGCACTGCAGTGGGCATTGCACGGGTGCTTCAACGGGCATTGAGCATTGCACCACGCACTGCAACAGGCACTGCAGTGGGCGTTGTATGGGCACTGCAACAGGGACTGCAAGGAGGCACTGCAATGTGCATTAAGCACTGCACCAGGCACTGCACGAGGATCCCCTCCAGAACCCACCCCCTGCCCTCATCCAGCCTCTTCCAGCCTTTCTGTTTCACAAGACCCCACGCCGCAGCACATCCCAAGGAACAATTTTAATACAACATAAAACTTCCCGAAGGTAACAGCAAGACCGGTGCTCGGCACAGCCCAGGAAGACAAGGTCCCATCCGCTTTTATGACATTTTCCATAAAAAAAAAACACCCTTCGCACGCCGCAAGAGATGCGTCGCAAGAAAAAAGGGAGACAGAGGGGAGGAAACGCCGAGCCTTGTCCAGAGAGCCTCGCACGAACCACACGCACACGAAATAATCCAGTGAAATACGGAGCCAACGCTTCGGGGTGGGAGATGGCACCGAGGGGCCAGAGCGCGGCGGCGTGGCCCTGTGCATGCAGCAGCAAAGGTTAGAGCATAGAAAACGTTAGAAACAGGGGGGGGGGAAAGCACTGGGCTGGCCCTTGGTCCGTCGGGAAGAGAGCTGCGGGAGGAGAAATTTAGAAATTGCAGGTAGAGCAGAGCTCGCTTGGGTTGCTTTTTTTTTGAAGAATTGAAATACTGTGGTGGTTGTTTTTTTTTTTGAAAAATGGAAATATTGGCTTTTCATGAAATGCATCAACCATACCGAGTGAATGTCCAAAGGTACATCATGGCAGAATAGGGAAAAATAATTAAAAAAAAAGACTAAAAACCCTGTTTTTTGCATCAAATTGCTGAATCCCAAGCAATGGTCGGGCCAGGTTTTTCCTCCCCAGCCCCGCTCCGCGTGGGAGATGATGGAGCAGGTCGGGAGAGCGGGTTGGGGCTTTCTCAAAAAGTATCATAATAAAAAAAAATAAAACCCTTACATCTGCCACGTGTTTATAAAATGACCCCCACGGCCCTTGGCACGGGTTTTGGGGGATTTGGGGGATTTTCCTGCAGGAGCAGGGGGGCACCGGGGGGGGGTTCATGGAGATGGAGGCGACCCTGAATGCACATCTGCCGAGGGGAGCCCTCGGCTTCATTGCTACTTGGAAAACCTGCCCTGTGGCTGAATTTTGGGGGCTTTTCCAGCTGAAAGGTGACCAAACAGGGAAATTCTTTTGGTTAGAAAATGTCGTTGTCATCGGGACGGGGGCCGGGAAACACACGGGAAAGGCTGGGACAGCTTGGACCCTGCAACGCCTCTGGTTTAGCTTATAAAAGTAATAAATTAGTTCCGAGTTTTTGCATCGAGTCCTTTCTATTCACAAAGTTTCGGGCCCTGCTGCCGGGGAAACGCCACCGCCGCGCCGAGAGCCCCCGCGGCAGAAATCTGGGCGTCTCTGCAGTTAGTACAAAAGGCAAAGCTCCGGAGCTCGGCACGGTCTGGAGATAAAAACGTTTCATCCCACGGCACAGCAGCAGCACGGGACCCAAATCGGGGAGGTTTTAGGGGATGCCCCGTGCCGGTAGCCCCAAGGGGGCCCCGTCCCCACAGGTCCGGTGATGCCGGTGGCCGTCCCGCCGCGGCAAGGCGATGCCGGGGGTGCTGTCGGTGCTGAAGAGGTGGAGGGGGTAGGAGGCCTGGCATTCCCAGCCGGCCACCCCCGGCTCCTGCTCGTCGCTCTCCGAGCCCTGCACCGCGATCTGCGGCACCCGGCTGGCTTTGGGCTCCGTGGACCCCGTGCCTGCGCCCTGCCCGGCGTCGTTTTTGGCCCCGTCCTCGCCTCCCGGCTCGTCGAAGCTCACTTCTTGCACGGCTTCTTGCTTCTTGAAGGAGTCGCGGCGCTCGGAGAGGTTCAGGCGCCGCATCACCACCATCTCCTGCTCCGCCGGCCGCGAAACCGCTCCGTAGCCGTGCTCGATGGGGTACAGCGGGACGGGCGCTTCGCCCTCCCCAAAAACTTCCCCGGCTCCATCCCGCAGAGGCATCTCCAGCCCCAGTTTTCGGCCGCCCCCGGTCTTCTTCTCAGCCAGGTACGTTGCCATCTTCTCCGCCGACTGCACGCGCTTGAGCAGGGGGGAGCGGGGGCACTCGGCGCTGCGTGGCCGAGCCCCTTGCCGCACGATGGTGGGGGGGGACAGAGTCTTGCCTTGGAAGGGGTGGGAGGGTTTGGGGTGAGCGGGGAGCGGGGACGGGGACCTCTGGGGGGACGTCGGGCGCTGGGCGCAGGCGGGGGTGCAGGCGAGGGGCGAGGGGGGGATGCTGCTGGTGGATTTGCGGCGTCCCACCTTGTAGCGCTGCCCGCTCAGCTTGGGAGCCAGCCCGTGCAGGGTGCTGGGGCGCACGTGGCCGGCGGGTGACGTGGGGGTGCTGGAGGAGGGAGAGGTGCTCTGTGGGGACACAGCATCTGCCGCGGGGAGAGAGAGAGGGAGAGAAGTCACCAACCAGCTGCGGGATGCCACTGTCCCGTGTCCCCCTCCCCGGGGGAAAAAAGAGGATCCCAACCCCGCACACGCAGTGGTTCAGGTACCTGGGGGCAGATCCGGAGCGGGGCTGCGGCACGGGCGTCGTGGGACCCGGGGACAGGCTGTGTGTGGGGGACTCCGGGAGGCTCTCGCTGGAGGACAGCGAGTGGTGGAGGCCGGAGGAGAAGCTGCGGCTGGTGTGCAGCACCGTCGACTGCTTGGAGATCTTCTTGAAAAGGGATTTCCTCCTTGGAAGGAAGCGCACGGGGAGGTCGGTCACAAACGAGGGAGGGAGAAGGAGGTACCCTTGGGGCCTTGGAGGCGCTGCTGCCAGCTCTCTTTAAAGCCTGCAGACCTAAATCTGGTGGGGTTGTGCTCCTCCACCTGCACCTCGTGTTCCAGCTCCAGGACACCGGGACCGAAAGGGCCATTTTATCCCCCCCAGGTTTATTCTCACCTGTCCTGGCTGTCCCTTTTCCTGCTCTTCTTGCTCCTTCGGGCCATCCGTGTCTTGGAGCTGTTTTTCCGGGCAGGGCCAATTTTGATGGAGGTGTTCTCCAGGGCAGTGGTCCTCAGGGCTACTTTATTGCCACTCTGCGGGTAGGAAAGGGGTCATTGCAGCATGCTGGCCCCAAGCACCAGGGTTTAACCCCAAAGAGCTGTCTGCAAGGCAGCCACGAGCCCCACATCTCACAAACATCACCCCCAACTCCCCCAGAAGCTAAACCCTGCGCTCTGCTGCGTTTCACATCCATTTGCTGGGTGGCAGCTCCGTGGTGTCGGCGGCTCCGCTGCAGCACCGTCAGATTTCGGGATTCCCACGCTCCCAAGGGTCAGGGATAATTTGCTGCTCGGGCTTGATGTGCCGGTTGGGGCAGCTGCATGCAGGTCCCGAGCAAGCCGGGCGAGCAGAGCGAGGCTCCTACCTTCAGCAGCAGCTCCACGACGTCCCGGTGCACCAAGCCCAGCACCGACTCCCCGTTGACGTGCGTGATGAGGTCTCCAGCTCTCAGCCCCGCTTCCTGCGCAGGGCTCCCTTCTTCCACGCTCTGCAACAAGAGAGCCAGGCTTTTGCTCGGACAAAACCCACACCTCCCACCACCTGTGGCATCCCAACGGTGTCACCTGGTCCCTGGGGCCACCTACCCAGACCATGTGGTGCACGGCGTAGACGTCGCTGTCCCCCATGTAGACCCGGATGGCTCGCAGCGTGAAGCCGTATTTCTTGCCTGAGCTGTGGATGATGATGGGGGGCCGCAGGCTGGTGATGGCCAGGGAAGAATCCCGGCTCGGGGACGAGTCTCGGGAAGAGGGGTTGGACGAGAGCGAGTGGGGGGAGATGGGGCTCATGAGGGCACCGCTGCTGAAGTCATCTGCAAGGACAAGAAGGAGGCTCGTGCCCGGGAAGCCACGTGGCGGCCGCGGCGGCTGCAGAAGCCAACGACGAACCTGACGTGATGATGAGGGACAGGGCCGAGACAGAGGCGGATTTGGGCACTCGGCTGCCGGGAGAAGTTCTGGGTTTCTCCATCCCGTCCTT